ACGTTGCAAGCCAGTTGCAAAAAGGAAGCTTAGGGTTTAGGAGAATTACAGAATATTTTGAGGCTGAGGTTTCGGTGAAAGGATTCAGGGCTTGATGAAGGATTGGAGAGTTTGGGATTCAGGGAGTTGGGTAATTTGGGGGCGGGGGGGGGGGGGGGGGGGGGCGTCCGGTTCCTGACAGGATCCTGGTAGACAGGCATCCGAACCCCTTCGTCCCAAGAAAGATCGAGGCCCGATCTCCCGTATGGGTTTCAAGCTTTGACAGGAGAGTGCCTCGGGATTTGTATTGGGTTTCGGCTTCAGGCGGAGGTTTTATTCCGAACTTACGCTGGCTGAGTACTTGAGCCTCTGACGTCTTTTTGACTTGAATTAAACTGCATCTTGCTTTGCTTTAGCACTGGGGTTTCAGACTTTAAGTTAAAGCCCTAGTAATTCTGCTGCACAGCGCTCCTCAGCTTGAATTCAGGGGCTGCATTCCTTAGTAGCTGAGTGAGTCAGTACACTTTACATTGTTTGGGGTAATATGATCCCTTATAGANNGGCTTATGAACTCAGCAACTAAGGCTCCAGACCCTCGTATCCCCGAGTAGTACAAGTAGGATCCCTGTCACGAGGGCTTTGCTTCTCGGACTGGTTATTTGACAAACCCCCTCAGCGTCGTTGTGAAGCCATTATATACACCAAGGTCCTTGCCGAACTCCATCCAGAGAGTTGCATCCACTTCACCCCTGCGCTGCCGGCAGACAAAGCTGCTGCCATCAAAAGGCCACGATTTGAGGGTTTCGACGGAAGGTTTCTGAAGGTTTTGGGTAGTGTAGGCTCCTTAGCAAGCCCCGTCGCCTTGACGGTGATTCTTGTAACTGTCCTATTCTATTGGGGCCCTTAAAGCAGGGGTTTACATTGAGGTTCAAGGTCTTCAGTCGCCGTTTTGACGCCATGGCAGACAACTGGACCGAAAGTTTTGCGTCAGCACAGGCGACCCTGAAGGAAGGGAAGTTCTTCGATGCTGTGCAGCACATCAACGCCTGCATGCAAGCCTTCGCGAAGGTTTTGGGTGACGAGTCGGAGAAGATTTTGAAGGACCCCCCCACGTTCATCGCCCAGATGGTTCCGAAGGTCTCGGCGGAGCAGAAAGACACCCTTCGACAAATGTACGAGCTACGTGGTGATATCATCACGGGCCTGGGCGCACACAAACGTGCAGCCAGTGACTACGAGTGTGCACAGCAATTGGGGAGCACAGACGGGGCGCTGAAGGATAAAGTGGCGCAGGTGCAGGCAGCGATGAAGGCAAAGCCTTCAGAGAGCAAAGTGCCCGTCACGGTACTCACCGGATTCCTCGGAAGCGGGAAGACGACACTGCTGAATCGCATCCTGCACGAGAACCACGGCAAACGCATAGGCATCATCGAGAACGAGTTCGGGGAGGTCGGCATCGACGACGGCTTGATTGAGGCCGGCTCCATCGCGACACAGGAGAACATCATCGAGATGAACAACGGCTGCATTTGCTGCACCGTCCGAGGCGACCTCATTGCCGGCCTAAAGAAGATGATCAAGAACTCCGTCAAAAACAACAAGCCACTTGACGGTGTCATCATCGAAACCACTGGCTTGGCAGATCCGGCACCCGTCGCCCAGACTTTCTTCGCCGACGACTTCGTGCAGCAGAAGATGTCCCTGGATGGTATCGTGACCCTTGTGGACGCCAAGCACCTGATTCCACACCTGGATGAAGAGAAGCCTGAGGGCGTCGAGAACGAGGCTGTGGAACAGTTGGCCTTTGCAGACCGCGTTGTCTTGAACAAGTGTGACCTCGTCGACGAACCCCACTTAGAGGAAGTGGAGAGACGCATCCGCATGATCAACGAGTCGGTGAAGATCCGCCGCGCCACTCAGAGCAAAGTTGACATGGACTTCATTCTCGGCATCCAGGCCTTCAGCTTGGACAAGATCCTGGAAATGGATGATGCTTTTTTGGAGGACAACCAAGACCACCAGCATGATGACCGTGTGACGTCTGCAGGTTTCCACGTGAAGGGCGAGGTGGATCAGCAGAAGCTGAATGATTGGCTGGGCACGATTCTTAAGGAGAAAGGGGCAGACCTCTTTCGTACCAAGGGTGTGCTAGCCGTGAAGGGCATGAAGGAGAAGTTCGTGTTCCAGGCAGTCCACATGGCCTTTACTGGCTCCCCACAGCGCCCGTGGGGACCTGATGAGGAGAGAGTCTGCAAGCTGACCTTTATCGGGAAGAACGTCAACCGAGAGGAGCTTGAGGTCAACTTCCGGAAATGTCTCGTGGGAGGTACCGGCGGGTACGCCTGAGATGCTGCATTGCATGAGTTTTTAGTTAGGCGCCGGGCTTAGATGGGCTTAGGTTCGACGTCCTGTTTGGCTTCTGAGAACACACACAGAGGCCGCGTAAGAGGGGTGGCAGCACCGGACCATGTGAAGCCAAGTGTGCTTCATCGCATATACCCGAACTTCCGTCGAGCTCGGAAACAGAGCAGCAGCCCTTGCGCCGCAGATGCGGAACAGTTCTGTGGCGCTCACGGTTTTTCGATTGCTGCGAGAAACTGAGTTGGCCAGACACAGTGCGAAAAAGGGTTTGGGATAAGGGTCAGCAGAGAAGCCTAAACAATTGCCACCATTATTTTTTGAGTTTTTCTCATAGCTGTACTATATAGGAGCCATCAGAAGACCAAAGTCTTATTCTAATCATTCAGGCCCCCCTACAGGACACAGCTGGGCCTGTGCACAGGACCTGGCAGCTAGGGGGTTCCGACACCTCTGTGCAGTTCCCATGCTTGCGGCCTTACGGGTTGAGGGGTTTATATAGGGTGTAGGGTTTAGGGGACCCTAAACCCTAAACCCTAGACTTAAGCCCTAAACCGAATCTGGGGGTGGTGAGGGTTAATTCAACCCATTAGATCAGTGATGGCTCCACCCCATGCTTGTATAGATATTTCTGTACTGGTTTGATCTGGATTCCGGAGCTAAGACAGCTAAGGTTAATCAATCCGCGGAAATTTCCGGACCCCTTTGAGGTTAAGGCTTTAACCGGTTCTGACCAGGCAAACGGCCGAAGTTTGCACACAGGTCTCCACAGAATGTTGCAACCACAAGATCCCAATAACACAGAGCCTTCAGCCCTCAACCGACGTCTTAGAATCCCCTCCAAATAAAGATGGTGCTGGCCATTCTTGCCTCCGTTTCCCTGCCCAACAGCCGGCATCTTTTCCTCCTTAAACCCTAAACCGTAAACTTAGGGTTTAGGGTTTTAGCCCTAAGCCGTGGAGGGTCTAAGGTCTTATGGTTCATGGGTTTGGGGTCCCGGTCTTGTGGGTCAAGCTGGGCAGAAAGGGCAGCAGTCGAGTCCCTTGTGAAAGACATGGGTTTGGGGTCTAGAGATTTTGAACTTCATGGTTCAGGGTCAATATAGGGGCTTGATTCATTACCAATACCATTTAGCGGGTTCTATATTATAGATATAATAAACCCCAACACCCTTGTATTAAGGCACCTACTTTTCGGGTGTTTAGGTTTCGGGCCAGGGGTTTGATTTATGACAGGCTGTCGATGCCAAAGCGCGGAGCCACGACGCACGAGAAGGCTTCGGGTAGAGGGGTTAGGGTTTAGCCGTTGTGGGGTTGCACAGTCAGGTTGTTCCGGGCGAGAGAAGCCTGCTGCAAAAGGGTATAAGGGCTCTATACGGCTTCATAAGGGTTTCTGTTGCTTTGGAATTCGCAAGTCTGCAAAGGGGGTCGGCAGAGCATGCAGAGCAAACGATCTAAATTCTAGATTCGCACAGATTCTTCATGCAAACGCTGAGTCCGTGGATCTCTCGAGTCCTACACCCTAATGTACTAATGACCCTAATGCAACCTAAGCCCTTGAAGTCCTTAAACACCAAACTCGCAATGTGGTACCCTGGGAGCTAGGATTAGGGGGACCTTTGGGGATATAGACCCTCTCAGTAAGGTCCCTTTTAAGAGAGCCAAAACTAGGGTTCAGAAGGGGTACCCTTTAAGGGGCACCCCTAATGATACTACCTATACCCTTGGTGGCAGGTGGTCCTCCGATGGCCCGTCTCGGAGCCGTTCGTGTCAGAGGCACGTCATTGCCCAACATATGCAGGCACAAATGGCACGTGTATGTAAACGTATATGTGACTGCGGTCGTGACTGCATACACTATAGTACATACTACCCTAAGTTCTATAGCTAGTGCGCAGAACTCTCACGGCAGCTTCAAGACCACGCCCGCAGCTTCCGAGATCTACGCAAGCCCTGGACCTATACCCCCGACACCTAAAAGCACCTAACCCTATTAACCCTGTAAGCCCTATAAGCACCAATGAAAGTGTACAACCAGAGGCAAACGCGGAGAGCCCAGCCTATCTAGGGCAAGGGGGAGGAAGGGTGGCTTGATTTTTGTGTAGGCCGCCGCTTGGAGGTGCGTCAGGGTTTGGATCTGTGTTTGTTTGGCAAGTGAGTGGATCACGATGGCTACAAACCGTCATCTCTTAAAGCTTGCGAACCCTTAGATTGCAGGGACGGTACGGTGACTGCACAAGGAACATGCCACAGAATTTGGTGTGCTGTCGATTCCAAATGGGTTTTCAGCTCTAAAGGACATCCGCCACATAATTCGGTATGCTGTCGATTCCACAAGCTTGGCCAAACCTATCTGCGGCTGATTCAAGGATCCAGTGATCTGTCCCTAAACCCTAAACCTAAACCCTAAACCCTAAACCCTAATGTCGTTTAAGCTTAAGAACCTTACAACTTATTGATAGGACCATGGGCTCTCCTGCAATTTTCGCTCAGCTTCGGGAGGTGTTGGGTGCCCGGGGCGCCGCCAGCCAGCCGCAAGGAAATTTGAGTTGAAGCTGTTCAGCTAGGAGCTTTGGGCTTAGGGATTCAGGGCGTAGGGTTTGGCTGTTTGGTTGCGTCTGCTGATTGGAACATGGTGATTGGCCGGTTGTGTTGTTTGCAGACACCTGGCTGTTAAAGTACCACGTGAGTTACAGCCCGTTGTTATGAACTTCCGTGGCTGTTCGCTATTTGTGCGCATTTGCCACACGTTGTGGAGGTCATGATGATGATGATGATGATGATGATGATGGTGATGGTGATGGTGATGGTGATGGTGATGATGAGGAGAGGAGGAGGAGGAGTATGATGGAGCTGAGAATGACGATGATGCTACAGATGCTACAGGTCATTATGAGCAAGCTCCGAAATGTTTGCGATGGTGATGCCGCGCAAGGGACGGCGGTGAGCATCGCAGGGATGTCGTCGTTACCTCCTGTTACGGTACTCAATATTGACGTTGTGAGTCCTGATCCTGTTGCGGCCGCGGATGCTGCTGACTATTTGTGATGACCGCGTCGTCGTTGTCGTTTCCCGCAGCAGATGTTCTGTCTTCTGTCCACCGAGGCTTTGCAGTTTGAGACCACCGACCAGCGGTTCCACTTCCTCAATCTGCACAAGTATGGCCGCGAAGGCCCGCAGCTCATGACAGCTTCCGTTTCTAGAAGGAGTGGATGAGTGAGTGAGTGAGTGAGTAAGCCAGCCACTGAAATGGAAGCTGGCCGTCCAAGCATCGAGATCCCCTAAACCCCGAACCCTAAGCCCCAAAACCCTAATCCGAAAAAATCCAAACCCCAAACCTTAAATACCCACCAGCGTAGGATGTCGTGAGTTTTCTGACTGCTGGGGTTTTGAGTTGGGAGCGGGACACTCGTTCCAGTGAGTCTAGCTTGTCAGAGCCAAAGAGGTCTGCAAGCAGGGCCACGCCAAAGCCGCCTCTGAAATTGGGTTCAGGGTTTAGGGTTCAGGCTGGGAAGTGTCAACCGGAACCACTACCGTCAACTGTCAAATTCTGTTGCCCTGCAAACTCTGTATTCGAGTCCACACTAGTAAGCAGGTTACCATGGTTCCCCACTGCCAGCTTTTCAATCTGATCTGCCACGTTTGCCTTGACTCGGTCCTGACCTACTCAACCCTTACCTCGAAAGCCGAACCCGAAACCCTAACCCTAGGCTTGCATGTACCCGAAGCCCAAGGAGAATGCAGCTTGCCATGTTGAAGGCGCAAACTCCACAAGACCTAAGGTCTGACCCCTGAATGATGTTAATATTGTGTTTTCTGTATTGTATTTAACTCCATAGTATCATATTAGATGTCATACTAAAATACCATATTAACATATTATATAGATTGTCCAAGTGGGGGGCAAAAAATCGCTTGTAACATTTCATAAATCCCGGGAGCCGCCAAAAGACGTCGAAGGCCAATTGCTGTGCCACATTTGGGGCGACTCGAGATGGGAGGCCACTTCCAAGCCATGAAAAGCCCTAACCCACCATGTACCTACTCTATAGGGCCCTATATAGTAGGGTTTAGGGTTTAGGGCCCTAGGGGCTCGAGGGCTCTAGTACCCTACATAGTAGGTACCTGGGGGGTTAGGGAAGGTGTAGGCCTCCTTCTCTAAGGGAGGAGCCTTGAAGTGCCCTTGAACAGAGCCTTTGTGGTCCTTCATAGGTTTAAGAGTGGGTGTTTGCGGTACATTAGAGGGTAGTTGGGGAGTCTAGGTAAAGGTTGGGCTCTTTCCTTGGCTTTCAGGATACATGAACAGAGCGTGTCTTAGCGGTTTGGGTTTAGGGTTTAGGGTTTAGGGTGGGCTTGTTCAGGTGTTTGTTCAGCCACCAGGCAGGTACAGACAAGAATATGTTTTGTCAAGTGTCGGAGACATGCCGGGGAATCTTTGCCTGATGTTCGGCGCTTCCCAACTCCTTGAACCCTCGTATTCTTGCTGCGAGGAGCATGCTGTTCTGAGCGACGAAGAGGTTGTCATGGAGGTGGTTCGTGGGTTACCAGGCAGCAAGCTGCAACCAAAGCCCCTTGGAATGAGTGACCAGCTAGCCCTAAAACTCCATGCGCCGCACCAAACCCACAAGCCCTTAGAAGACCAAGCCCTGTGGAGGATAGAATTACATCTACAAGACTGCCTCGTCAACCTGGCACCTCGTAAGCCGTCGTATGGACCCTGTGCTAGAAACTTTGTAAGACTTAGAAGTCCGACGTCCCATAGTTCTTAGAAATCCCCAAACCCTAAAGCCGAGACTGAAACATAGCTGTTGCAGACATGGTACCAGGCCTCAGAGAAGAGCCTCCAGAGCACCTGCCTTCGGTTTCTGCTTTCGCCACGTATGTATCCCATGCATGTCAGGACCAAGACTGTGTAGTTGCAGAGCCACGGCAGAAGAACACAGTCATTTCTGCAAATTTAGAGTTCCAGGGTTTATGGGAGCTTATAACTAAGGGATCGGCTCTGGACCAAAATCGTGTTGCTTTAGGGTTCCAGGTCTAGTCTGGAACGGAAGTTTGGAAAATCTGACCTTTACCGCTCTCCGCGCCACGCTTGTGGGATTCAGTTGGTTTCTGTGGCATTCTTATAACATTTGTTTGGCCAGGGACCTAAACTCTGCACTACAATCTGGAGGCCTTCGCCCTAAAGTGGCTAACAAACGACCACCAGCAGGCCCACACCAGCAAAGGGGAAAATCCTGCAAGCAGAGATTCTCAAACCCACCTCACTGCAGGCTACGTGCGATGTTTCCAGCAAAGGCTGGAGCAGATGACGGTCGTCAAGCGCAGGAGAAAGTTGCAGCGCCAGTCTCACGTGTTGGTTTGTCAGGTGCAGGCTTATTTAACTCTTACAGTAGACATCTTATACACTTACTTGGTATGTCTGAGTTCAAGTCTGACTGACAAACGGCAAATCATTCATTCAATTCAGTGCACTCGGGGAAAACTCCACGCCGCAGGCGTAGCAAACAATCGTTTCCACCTCGCCGCGAGGACGACTTGCCCTTCCCTCCGCTGTGGAAGGTCACCCGCTGGTCCCTGGATCCATTTGCTCTCGGAGCCCAAAGGGCGGGACGGTTGAAGTTCGTGGTATAGTCTGGTGTAGTCCACAACACGTATGACGTATTCCTCGTAGTAGAGTAGGCAACCTTGGGCTAGTAGTAGTAGTAGTAGTAGTAGTAGTAGTAGTACTACTACTACTACTACTACTACTACTACTACTACTACTAGTACTTCTTCTTCTCCCTAGCAGCAACATCAGCAGTTAGTAGTAAGAAGAAGTCGGGTACAACCAAGAGTAACATTCACAGCTTCCCACTTCCAGATCTTGTAGCCTGGGATCTGCCAGGCTTGTTAAGCCTTACGGTTTTGTGGCAATTTGGGAGGGGATTGGGGATTGTAGATCGTAGCTTGCACCTGGCAGCCATCACGAGCTTGTAGTGAGTTGCAGTGTCTGATGATTTTTCAGAATACCAGTACATGTATGTTAAAGCTTTTTCGGGGTTAGGGTATCTTCAGTTGCAGCATATGCGGACAAGGCTTGCGCGTAGAGTCGTAGAGCACATCCCCCTCATACTATACTCCACTCTACTAGACTACACCTTACTACACCAGACTCTACTATAATAAGCTACTCTACCCTACTATGCTAGACTACACTCTACTGTGCTAGACTACACTCTACTATACCATCTCTAAATCCGAAACCCCAAGCTCTAATCCTTAAACCCTAAAACCTATACCATCTAGATTCCCCAAGTTCGGAGGAGCTTATACCGAGTTCCAGGATCCCAAGGCGAGCGAGGATGACCGCGACATCTACGCGACGCCTTGCTGCACTATTGTTATGATGGGTGGTTGTTACCAGTAGTATTACTGCTATTATTATTGTTGCGATTGATTATTTCTACCTTTACTATGTAATATTTACTATTACTATTACTTGACTATTGCTGTTACTATTACTATATCAGTATTATGGTCGTTCTTATTACTATCACCATCAGTACTATCGTTGTTGTCATTATCACTTTTAATGTATCTCGTTCGCTGAACCCTTGGCCTTGGAATCTGCCGGACGAAAGCCTGGCCCGGCTGATGCGACTTCCCAGCTGATGATCAGAGCCTGGGTTCAAAAAGGGCAGCAAGGGCAACAGTCGAGTCTCTTGTGATTAAAAGAGGGTTGAGGATATGAGACGTAAAGAGTGCCCGAAGAACAACATGACTCCGTTGACTACCTACCTCGCTACGACAAAAACTCCAAGAACACAACAGGGATTTTCCCGGGGCCCTTAGACCTACACTTGCATTCCTAAACCCTGAGCTTATTTGCCCTAAAACTCCAAACTTGAAACCAAGAAAGCCCTAAACCGAAGCCCTGTTTTCTCGTCTCCTCTCTCAGGAGACCGGAAGGTCGCCTTTTATTCACCGGCGAAGGCCTGTGCACAGTTGCGGGGTATTTCGGGTTTAGGGTTTATGGCTTTGGGGTTTAGGGTTTCGGGTGCAAGCTACATCAGTTCGCGAGCTTCGTAGAGCGCCTGCGAAAGTGAGTGAGCATGAAGGGTTCCTTTAAGGTAGTGGCCTCAACAATAGGAATAGGGTTTTGGGCCCCTTTATGGTATACTTATAATCGGAACCCTAAGGAATAATATTGGTAATTATTTAGGCTTCTATCTTACCCCCACAGGTGCGTGAACGCGCTTGGGCTCTTTGTAGAAGGGTCCTGAGCTGCGAGGCTCTCGCGGTGCGCTGGAGAGCTGACTCATCCTTTTAGGAGCTTGGTGACCAGTCATGTAGGGACTTAAATAATTACCAATACCATTTTGGGGGTTTCTGTCTTATAATTATACTATAATGGGCCCCAAAACCCTATTCTAATTACTAAGGCCCCTATATTATGCTTGAAGAATTCTGGCAGGTGCCGTTCCGGGCCATGTGGGCGCGCAGTGCACTCATGGAGCTGTTTTCGGAGGCCTGGACTGTCCGAGTTGAGAGGGCCGAAACTCTAAACCATCCTACACCCTTGGACTTTGCTTCGTGATTTTGCAGCAGCTCGCCTAGTGCAGACCGTGCCCTGGGTCGTAAGTCGAGGGTTTAAACGCCTTAATGTCTTGTAGGCTTCCTTTCTCTCACTCTCTCTGCCTCTCTCGCTCTCTCTCTCTCTCTCTCTCTGTCTCCCTCCCTCCCTCTCTCTCTCTCTCTTTCTCGTCGCTCGCTCTTTATATATATATATATATGTACATATTTATATATTTATTTTTTCACACGATATACGTATATATATATATATATATAATGTTCATACTATAGGGCACTCCCCAAACCCTCTTCGAACTTGTTCAGGCCCTATATGACCATTATTAGCATCACAAGTTTCAGGCTTCACCCTAAACCCTAAACCAGGCAGGAGGCCAACAGCAAGCCAGAGCCACGAGCGACTGGCATGACCGAGGCATAACAGTCCCGAAAGCCCCACGCCCCAATTCCCAAAACGGTTGGGGTTTGGGGTTTAGGCGTTAGGGTTTAGAGGTTTAGGGTTTAGGGTTCAGGGTTTAGGAACTGTTGGAGTTTACAAAACCCCTAAACCCTTCACCGCATTATACTGTGTTTATGTTCTCTTAATGGGACCCGAAGATTTGATCTACACATGCCCCCCGGGTTGACAGTCTCTGGCACTTCCACAAGTCCAGATGCAGAAACAGGGTTTACGAAACTCTAAATCCTGAACGGTTTAGGGTTAAGGGGAATCGTTAAACACACTAAAGCACCAAGATCCTGAAAACCCAAAATGGCCCAAAAGCCCCAAACCGCAAAACAAAGGATTGCTCTGCGCGTCCCACAAGGTGCCCCTGTCTTTAGGACCTAAACCAAACCCTTCAAGTCTACTTAGGGTTTAGCACTTGAAATCCTCAACACTAGACCCTCATGCTGTAGTGCAAGCCGTTTGCGAGGTGCATCTGCTGCCATCGCGCTCCTGAGTGAGGGCGTTGGCGCGGCACAGCGACAAAAACAGGAAGAGGCTCCCAGCCGGAACTGGAACACCAATTTTGGGTTTCGTATTTGGAAAGATAGTAGGAAAATGAAACAGAATGGGAGCGTGACGTGACGCCAGTATACGCGCGATTGGGTTCAGCGGGTATCCATGGCAGAAGCCGAGAGGAGCCTTGAGATTAATTGTGTGTTAGCCCTTTCGACATACGAATGTTGGTTTAAAGCTTATGGGAAGAGCTTCTCTGGTTCTTTGCATCGTCTGAGTGAGGTTATACAAAGACTCAGAACTGCGCAGCTGCAGGCCTCATGCAGGGGCCTTAACAGACAGAATACGGTCTTGGGGGGTCCTTATTGTAATTATGGTATGTATATATATATATATACATATATATATATACATACCCAAAGTCCTAGTCTAATTATTAAGGCCCCCTATATTAAACTCTTGCACCCGTCAAGCTCTAAGCTGCAGCCCTCGGCTTTCAGTTCGCCCTTACAAAACCCGTCTAACACTCAGGAAAGCCATGGCAAAAACCCTTGAAACCCTGAATCCTACACTCACCTTACACCCTATAAACTCCTACATCCTAAAAACCGCAAAACCCCCAAAAAGCTTGAATAAACCCGAAACTCCGAAGCCCTTAACCCTTAAACTTTGAACCCTAAACTCTGACTCTTCAATTCCACGGCCCCGGAGCCTGGAAGGCCCCAGCAAGACCGTGCAACAAAACAAACTCCTAGGCCTTGAACCCTATAGACTAATAGACCCTTTGAGAGAAACCTTGATAGTATAGTATCGGTAATAATAGTAGAAAGAAATAGTAGTAATAGTAGTAATAGTAGTAGTAATTTTATTAATAGTCATATTAACGGACCGAGCCCTTAAAGGTAATAGTAGTAATAGTAGCAATACTGTTTGTAATAGTCATATGAAAGGACCGAACCCTTAAAGGAGCCTTTAAAGTATTAAAGGACCAGCCCTTAAAGGAGCCCTTAACCCCTAAACCCTAAAGCCTAAACCCTAAATTAAAGTATTAAAGGACCGAACCCTTAAAAGGAGCCCTTAAAGACCCTCAGCCCCCTAAACCCTAAACCCTAAACCCTAAACCCTAAACCCTAAACCCTAAACCCTAAACCGAACCCTTAAAAGGAGCCCTTAAAGGCCCTCAGCCCTGCTCTTCGAAGGAGTCTCCTCGTCTCGGGGAGCTCCTCGGCTCGGGGCCTTTGGGCCTGGACGTGCCGGTTCTCGTGGAGGCTCCGGCTGTTAGGGTTTAGGGTTAGAGTTTAGGGTTTAGGGCTTAGGGTTTAGGATCTAGAGTTTAGAGTTTAGGGTTTAGAGCTTAGGGTTTAGAGTTTAGGGTTTAGGATCTAGAGTTTAGAGTTTAGGGTTTAGGGTTTAGAGTTTAGGATCTAGAGTTTAGAGTTTCGGGTTTGGGGTTTAGGATCTAGAGTTTAGGGTTTAGAGTTTAGGGTGTAGGGGCTCCGGCTACAATCGGGGCCGTAATAAATTAAATAGCATTTGGGGTTTAGGGTTTAGGGGTTGTAGTCGTAATAAGTAGCATTTGTGGTTTTCAGGGTTGAGGGAATAGAAGAGTGTTTCAAAGGATGCTATAGCAAGGGTTTAGCCTAGGGGCATCTAGGGGCTGAATTGATCAGAATAAAAGTCTGGGGATGTTATATTTATGGTATTTTTTTACTGGGAACCCTGACTCTTCCGGTTGGCTTTTAGGACTTTAACTTTCGGGGTGTCTGTTTGAACCATAACGAATAGACTGAAAGTTTAACTTTTAGGAGGGGTTTAGAAGTCAGACAGGGTGAGTAGCCGTCTCGGGATGCTTAGGGGCCTTTCGGGGTGTAGGGTTTAGGATTTATATAAGTTTAGGGGTTTTGGTTGCAGTCCCTGCTCAAGCAAGGCTTTTAGCTTGTTGGCACACAAAATCCCAGATGTGGCATCCGAGTTTTGGGCAGGAGAGGAAGAGTTTCACATGCGCCGGAAGCGCCAGAATTCTTCGCAGACTCCACCACAGAAGCCTCCAAGAACTGGCAAGAACAAAACCCGTGCCCTGCCCAAAGCAGAAAAAAAGTCCTACAAGGCATTCAGCTTTCAGACGGAGGGGCCTACTGCACTTGAAAGCTGTACCTGAACTGCAAAGGCTCAGGAGCCGTAACCCGCTGATAAACAGCCTTCGCAAACAAACTTTGCAAGAATGGACACTCGGCTTTGGCTTTATCAAAGGCCATCATACCCTAGACCCCCAGGTGTTCGCTTTTCAACCTGAAGCCGCTCTAACCCGACAAAGATCCACAACAAAGACTCCGAATTACGATCACAAAGTCAGAACATATAGGAAATACATACATACATATATATATATATATATATGTATATATGTATGTATGTAGATATATATATATATATATATGCAGGTTCAGATGTACATCAAGAGTACAAACGATATACACAAGCCGACTTATAGATCGCAAATACAAAAAGATGTGTATATACATGTGCAATCACATCTCTCCATGTGTCTCTCTCTCTCTCTCTCTTCCTTTTCTGCTTCCTTCTGCCTTACACCCTAAACTTAAACCCCCATACACCCTAATTAAGCCGTAAACCTTGTAGAAACCCTAAACCCTTGTAGACATGACTCAACGAAGAGGTCCTGGCCACCGGCCGCTGCAAGGGCCGCAAGCGCCGCAAACCGCCAGCCTAAGCGACTTGCGCACGCGATCGTGAAAAAGCACGCGGCAGGGTTCCTTGTTAGGCTTGTATAGGGAAACCCTAAACACTACAACCTTCACGGTCCTTATCGGTTTTGTATAGATGTTCTGTGCAGGTTTTCGGGTTTAGGGAGATGCAGAATGGAGGGTGGCAGGTTTTAGGGTTTAGGGTCTTTGTGGGATCATGTAGAATGTAGAACAGACAGACTTGACAGTTGTGGAATGTTGTGGAGTCAGACGGAGGGTTCAGGTAGATGGAGCATGTACGGTCTAGAAAGCGTTTGGGGTTCATGTACAACAGAAGAGGCTTCATGTACCTCGCCCTCCCATATTCTCTACTATGGTCAACATGCCACATATTCCAGAGAATCAGGGCTCTATCAAACTATCAAAGGGTACTACAAGGTTTGAGAAGAGGATGCCAGAATTTTGTTGGGCTCGGGCATTGCAGGCTTTTGGTTAAGGGCTTAAGTGTTTCGCGTCTAGGAGTTAAAGCTTGTGTTCACGGATGATTCAAACACACTTACTCATGCACATGTGTTCATGTATCCGAGATCTTCGCCACACATACCCACTCCATTTGTGTACACATGATTGTATGGGCGTATATTATGTATACATGGAAGAGTGTGCGTGTACATGTATAGATGCATATCTGAATGGATGGCATGTACATATGTATGCCAGTCTTACATATGCATCGACATGACATACTTGTCTACGCAGGTCCAAGGTAGCGCATGTGCAGACATTCCTTGGCATGACTGCCATGCTTGTGTTTACCAGCCTTAGCATTGCGACAATTCTTGCTGTCCTGACCAGTGCATCGAGAAGTGCCGCTTCCTCACACGGCCGGGGCGATCTCTCAGACAGGACAGATGGGAGAGGTGGGGCCAAAAACCCGCAAATAAAGGCCCAAAAAGATGTGTTGGTGCTTTGGCTTGTCTAACGTTTTCTTGTACCCGCCATTATTCGTGCAAACCGTGAGCACTGAATTGAGTTCCTCGCGCACCAGTATTTTTCTGAAGGAGAGGAAGAGGTTTCTAGAGGTGTGCGGAGAGCGCTCTGTCTTCCACTTTCCAAGCTCATGGGCTTTTGAGCCAGCATCTCCCGGCCATTTCAGTTGCCGACGTTTCCTATGCTACGCCCTGGATTGACGGCCAAGTTGGTTTTGCAGAGGAAGTATCGAAACTCCGCAGCGAGTTCCGGTTTATTCATGCCGAGCTAAGAGGCTGTGACCAGGCAGCAGCCAGAACGGCTGAGTCATGCATGCCATTTTGCCTACTCTCTTATTCCACGTACCTTGCGATGATCTTGTATGGTACTCCCTAACCCACCAGGTCCCTACTATATAGGGCCGAAGGGGCTCTAGTACCCTATATAGTAGGTACCTGGGGGGTTAGGGACTGTACGACATGGTATGGTGTACTGCGCAGTAATAAGTATAGCATCCTGCACGGGCAGCGGAAGTGTTGTTCCAATTACTGCAGTCCCTTAGCCAGGAGGCGCAGCTCATGAAAGAGTGCCTCGGCAGATGCAGTGCCCTGCACGTTCTGTTTATTGCTCCAAAGCACGAGATCCCCGTTGTAAAGTAGCCACTTTTCTACGTGCGATTCTCAGCTGTGCCGGGGCCTGATTTGCAAGACTTCCGCTTGGGTTCGGGAAGCTTCCGCGACGCAATCCGAAGAGAAGCTGAGACCAGAACTGCGTGTTGGCGCTCTCAGCTCAACCCCGAACTACTACCACACCACACAGCCCTAAGGCTATCACCCCAAACCACAAGCCCTTGAACCCTTGCCCCTGCAGGCTAGACCACCCTGGCATCGTGAAGCTTCTGTGCCCAGCTTGAATTTTGCTGACTCAGGGTGTTGACTAGGCGTTACGATGTGGAGTCCGACCGGCATATAGACGAGTAGACTTCCCGGTAGAGGGCTGAAGTTCTGCGAGGATCATTGTCCTCCAAACCGCAACTGTTTTGGAATACTTTACATGCGTTCCGAGCCTGCGCCGTGGGTTTAGGGCTTCAGCTGGCTGTTGGAGCCCTTTAGGAACCTTAGGGTCTTGACACACACGGTTTAGGGTTTAGGGTTTAGGGTTTAGGGTTCAGGGCTTAGAGTTCGGCAGAAGCTGCGTCGCTGTTTCACTCGAAGCTGTTGTTTTTGCGGGGTACTTGCCATGCACGTACCCGTGAGTCTGCCCATACAAACCATGATCTCCATGAGATGTCCACTATATTTTTGTACGACAAAACATATATTGATATATATATATATATATATATACTATTGTAAACCTTCCACTGGAACTGTCGACATAAAGCGGCAGAACCAGCACTCCTACGCCCAAGATCCTTTCAGGGACTGCATGGAAGATGAGAGCCGGCTGTGCCTGGTGATGGATCCTCTTACGAGCATTGAGGGGGGTGTTGGAGTGATTTTCAGACTCTTGGGGCTCACCCTAGAAGCCTGAATCCCACACCCGTCTGAGTCCTTGAACCCTAAGCCCTTACGCATAAGTAAAAGTCTAAGCACTTAAACCTAGAAAGGGGAGGCCTGGGTTTGGGGCAAAATGGGCTCCTCCTGGCTTCCGGCCTCCGATTCGCTTTAGTTATTTATCTCCTTTTCTGGCAGGGATGTCGAGGGGGATGGTCGTTCTATCTGAGGTTCGCGATGGTTCCGTTTCTCTAGGGTTCTGTCGCCCTTTCTGTTGAGGGTATCTGCTTCCATAGAGATTACGATACCTGGCTTCAGGAACCTTGAACCTTTTTCAGGCCTTTGGGATGTAATCTAAAAAGTACCGTACTGTAGCAAAGTCATCCTTCCTAAAAAGCCCGAGCGTCTGTACCGTGATCAAGCCATGTGTGCCCCGTTGTGAAGCCATGCTGCTTGATGCATGCGAGTTTTTAGCGGGATTCTCATGTTAGCGGTAGAGGATCTAGTCTGGATTGATGGGGCTTTTGAACAGGCTGTACGCAGGTCTCGGAGGGCGCCATGACCTGTCAAATATGTGAAACGCCCCCCCAGCCAGCAACAGTTGAATATAGTTGAATGATCTTTTCTTTAGTATATTCGGGCCCTTAATAGCCTGTTACAGACCGCTACGGAGTATGGAGCACCCAATAGGAATACATCCCGGGCGGCGACATGTTTCACAACATCGCTCAGCAGGGGAGGCACCGCGTCAGCAATTGCACAGTTTAAAGTTTAAAGATTTATGCCGAAGAGCCCCAAATTCGAAACCCTCTTGGACCTCGCCTGGCTGGTCCGGGTTGTGAGATCGTAAACCCTACTGGCTTAAGTGATGGTGCTTGGAAGGAAAGGTCCTCCAAGCTTACACCTTAAACCGACGAATGTCCTCTTCCCAAGGACAAACCTGATGGCGCCTGGTGTTTATGAATATCAGGTGACTTTTTTCCGGCTCCTTTTGCTCAAGATGCTGCTGCTTTCGGTCTCTATGTCTCTACGAAAATTTCAGAAAAATCCCACCTCTGCCAAGTTGCAGGCTGGGTTTTGCATGTTCCCTCCAAGGCCGTTCCCCTAAACCCTACAGCCGATGAATTTGGCTCCCGCACCCCGGGTGAAAACAAGATCCAGTGTTCGACTACAATGACTACGAGGTCTGAAGTTGAGGACCCTCTTGCAAGTTGAAAATCCATTTGCGTAAAAGTAGGACTGCTGCAGGAATCGGAGTAGGGCTGAGTAGGGGTAGGGTAGACGTCGTAGTTGCATGAGTAGTTCGGTATCGTCGGAGCTGTTTTCGTTGTCTTCATCATCCCTAAACTCCCTAAACCTTGTTTAATCCTCAAAGCCCGAAGCCCTAAAGCCGGCCTGGATTCTTTCGATGATCTCCTTGCCAGCGGAGAGAAGTTGTGTCTCATACAGATCAGCAGCTGATTGACCCTTCATCGTAGGTTTGTGCTAACCATGCGACAGGCAACAACAAGCTGAACCCAAAGCAAATTTGTTCCCTGAATCCCTAAACCATGTCCCCGAGGTTTCCAGAGACTCAGGCGGCAAGGCTCCTGCGGCAGCTCGCCGATGCGCTGTCGCTTGATTGCCCTACATAGGTAGGGGCATAACTAAGTATCAATACTATTTCGGGGGCTCCTTATTCGAGTTATAGATTCAAAAACCTCAAAACCCTAGTCTAATTATTAAGGCCCTAATGAGGGGTTTCTGGCGTAGGGCTCCTACAGTCCAAGGTTAAGGCGGTTAAGGGTCTTGGGGTTTGGGTTCAGGGTTTAGGGGACTTTGGTAGGGGCACCGCTTTCAGTAGATAAGGTTCTCATGGTCATAGGATTTTAGTATAGCTGGGGTTACAAGGTACGAACAGGGGTTTCTCCGGATCTCTATACAAAAAGACTGCTCGTTTGGGCTACCTTTGCATGTTTTGTCTATGGTTGTAAGCATTCACAAATATTGACGGATACGTCAGGTTAGACATGCGTATATATGTAGTTCGCTTTCTCGCTCTCTCTCTCTCTCTCTCGCGTCGTCTACTAATCTATCGTGCCCATGCATGCACTTGGTTTGAAGATGTCGGACGCTGTGTGCTGGGCTTCCACATGAGCCTAAGCTTATAGGGTGCTGCTTGCGGCACATAGGGCTTGAGCATCAGGACTGTGGGACAGGTTGGGAATCCATTGGCTCTGCGGGCCCCAGGTCAATCGGTGGAGCAACAGTTCAGATGTTATTCCGTAGTTTCGGCCCTTCTTACTCCTCAACCCCGTCACAAGTAGAGGATTTGTCTTCGTCACTGCAGCCGCGCCCTAGGTCCTATGTACATAGCAAGAACATCGTGCACCGTGCCGGGGGCTCAGCTTTCGTTTGTTGCCGCTTGTTACTCAAAGCCTTTCAATGTTTCTTGGCATTATAAACAAGGTCATTAGAGGTTCCTTCTGGGTATTTGACGAGCTTGCACTGCTTCTATAAGTCAGAGTTCCACTCTCGGATGCGAGGCAGGAGCCGAGTGATCACATGTCGAGATTGCGAGT